TGTTTGGAAAGCCAAAATCTAAGAATAAATGTTAATCTAATGGGGATGCAAAGCTATATATATATATATATATATATATATATATATATATGTTTATAAATATATATATTTTATATAAATATATATTTATATATATATATATGTTTATATCTATATATATTTATATATATATATTTATATATATATATGTTTATATCTATATATATTTATATATATATATATATTTATATATATATATTTATATCTATACATATTTATATAGATATATATATATTTATATATATGTGAAAAGTGTATATAAATATAAATAAATATATATATATAATTATTTATATATCATATACGCAGTACTTATTAGAAAGCGCTCAATATCAGAGATAGAGCTAACATATTTGGTTGGATAGATGTGAGTTTGTGACCCTGGGTTTCACGCTTTAGTGATCGTCCAGACAAAGTGTGAAACCCAGGTCACAAACTCATACATCTATCCAACTAAATATTTTATATATATATGTTTATATCTAGATATATTTATATATATATATATATATATATTTATATATGTTTTATATATATATATATATATTTATATATGTTGATATATTTATATATATATATGTTTATATATATATATTTTTATATATATATATATTTATATATGTTTATATATATATGTTTATATACATATATATATATACATTTATGTATATATATATATATATTTATATATATATATATATATATATATATATATATATATATATATATATATATTTATATATATATATATATATATATATTTATATATATATGTGTGTGTGTGTGTGTGTAAGAATGACATTTGGGAAAAATTGTAGTTTTTTGCCAATGCAATTGAAAATGCTTTTGTTGTCATAGTTACACTAAAAAATCCAAATTTAAAAAAGAGAGAGACTTTGGATTTTTTATTGTAAATATGACAACAAAAACATTTTGATTTCATTTCGGTGACTCTTGATTTTTTAACCAATAGGAATAAAAAGCATAGGCCCCCTAAAGAATTGGTTCATGAGACAGTTTTGATTCATATGTTTGCCATATAAGAGGAAAAATTTTGACTGCATAGCCAGAAAAGGGATATATCAGAAATGTGTAAACAAAACTGAACTGGAAAGAAAAAGGGTTTTGATCATCTTGGCATGTAAACGCAGAACGATTTGATTGTCTTGGTGTGTAAATTCTGCAGAAAGATGAATTTAATCAATTTTTTTTTCTGATAAAATGTTTTCCATTGCCAAATCAGCATGATACATTCTACAGGAAATACAAAAATAAACGTTTATAGATTTATCTCCCTTGTCTAGCACGTTTAATCATTGTTGATGTGCAGTGAATCAATAATGTGTTACCTTCTGTCTGCAGCCTGGAATAAAATGCTGGGACTGGGCTGGTTGAGATGAGAGAAAAGAAGTTACTTGAAACACATGGCAGCTATCTGTACTGGTAAATTCTACGGCTACTGAAAGACTGTGGCAAGATGCCAGCTCAAAGTGAAGAGCAAGAAAAATCTATGAACCAAATCATTTGGGCAACTCTTACAGTTTTCAGTTGAAGATTTAGTGAGCCATAAAATCCTGTATGTAGGGCAGAGGTTAGTTTCTTGTTTTTTTTTTTTTCATTTTGACCCCAAAGCAAGGTGATAACACCTCTAGGATGCAAGAGGTTACTCGGAATGAAATAGAATTGGAAGTCTTTTGTAGTTGACAAGGAAGCAAGAAATTGGAAGTGTGTTCCACAGATGGTAAGTGCAAAAGGGCTTATGGCAACTTCACACTGAAATACCGGTTCCTCTATGTTTGTTTGGTTTTACGGCATATCAACCTCAATGGGTTATTTAATGCCGACAATTTTTATTTCTGATATTTTTAAAAAAAAATATATTGCTGGTTATATTTTCTCTTCAAAAATCTATTGCTGGTAATATTTTTTTCAAAAAATGTATAGCTGTTTGTATTGCTGGTAATATTTTTTTTTAAAGTATCTCTGAAAATTTTTTCATTCAAAAATTTATTGCTGTTTTTTTTTTACAAAGTACTTCTGGTATTAAAACCTATTTTTACACTTTCATAGTATTTTGACCCAAGTTTAGGTGTTAACTATTTTCCCCTGGGACCCTAGCAGGTGCTACTACCCTGGGTCAGGGTGAACTTGGAAATACCAGCAATTAAGAGGTAGTTCCACACTCCTCAAAACCTCCTGATCAAAGTCATTGCTGTCGGACGTAGTTTATCATCTTACCTAGGACACAGATGTAGTTTATCATCCTACCCAGGATGGGTTCCTGCATGATCACTGAAGTTAAGCAAGGGGTTACTGGGAATGAAAAAGAATAAGAAGACTTTTGTGAAGAGAAAATAAAAATTAAAAAAAAAATGATTCAAGTTGATTGGCTGATTTTGTTTGGCATATCAACACTCTATGGGTTCTTCTAAATTTGACACAGTTTTATGATCTTAAATATATTTTGAATGTAGTTGTAGAATTTACCAGTAAAAGTATTGTTGGTCATTTTGCTTTAAAATTGTATTGTTTCATTTTGCTTTAAAACTCTATTGTTGGTCATTTTGTTTATTATTTTGTTGTCATTTTCTTTAAATAAATTGAACACAGTTTTAAAATTGTTTGTTGTCATTTTTGCTTTAAATATGGTCATTTTGAATGTAGTTGTATTTCTTCCACATTTGCTTTAAAAAATGTATTGTTAGTCATTTTGCTTTAAAATTGTATTGTTGGTCATTTTGCTTTAAAATTGTATTGTTGGTCATTTTGCTTTAAAATTGTATTGTTGGTCATTTTGCTTTAAATATATATTGTTGGTTGATTTTGTTGCTTAACTTCAGTGATTGTATGGGAATTGATATTTCAATGTGATATGGCTGTAAGCACTTAGGATCACCCGCATATCCAAGCTTACAGCACCTGGTATTCCCAAGTGGTAGCTTGTTTGTTACTGACCATGCTCGATGTTGCTTAACTTCATACAGGAGCCAGTATTTCAACGTGATATGGCTGTAAGCACTTTAGACCACCTGCACATCCAAGATCACAGCATCTGGGATTCCTGAGTGGCCAACCATCTAGATACTTGTCAGGCTTGACATTGCTTAACTTTGGTGATCGTTTTGGAAACGATATTTCAATGTGATATAGTCATAAGCACTTTAGACCACCCACACATCCAAGCTTACAGAACCTCGCATTCGCAAGAGGTAACCCGTCTAGTTACTGACCAGGCTTGACATTGCTTAGGTTTGGTTTGGTTTGGTTTGGTCTGTTTTACAGCATATCAACCTCAATGAGTTATTTAATGCCAACAAGATTTTTATTTCTGTTAATATTTTTCCAAAAAGTATTGCTGGTAATAATTTTTTACAAAAAAAGTATTAAAACTTATTTTTACACTTCCATAGTGTTTTGATTACCAGTTTGGGGGTTAACTATTTGCCCATATCTGGGATCCTAACAGGTGCTACCACCCCAGGTCAGGTTAAACCTAGGAACACCACCAATTAAGAGGTGGTTCCATGCTCCTCAAAACCTCCTGATCAGAGGCCTTGCTGTTGGATTTAGTTTATCATCTTACCCAGGATGCGGATGTAGTTTATCATCTTACCCAGGATGCTTGATTTTGCTTAATTTTGGTGATCATACAGAATCCAGTATTTCAATGTGATATGACCGTAAACACTTTAGACCACCCACACAACAAAACTTACAACACTTGATATTCTCAAGCAGCCACTCATTTAGATACTTGCCAGGCTTGACATTGCTTAACTTTGGTGATCATATGGGAGCCATTATCTCAATGCAATATGGCCATAAACACTTTAGACCACCCACACAACAAAGCTTACAACACCTGATATTCTCAAGCAGCCACTCATTTAGATACTTGCCAGGCTCGACATTGCTTAACTTTGGTGATCATATGGGAGCCATTATCTCAATGCAATATGGCCATAAACACTTTAGACCACCCACACAACAAAGCTTACAACACCTGATATTCTCAAGCAGCCACTCATTTAGATACTTGCCAGGCTCGACATTGCTTAACTTTGGTGATCATATTGGAACCATTATTTCAATGTGATATGACCATAAACACTTTAGACCACCCACACAACAAAGCTTACAACACCTGATGTTCTCAAGCAGCCACTCATTTAGATACTTGCCAGGCCACATTCTTAATTTGGTGATCATATTGGAACCATTATTTCAATATGATATGACCATAAACACTTTAGACCACCCACACTTTGTTCTTACAACATTTGATAGACCCCAATGCCATTAGATTCTTGCCAGGCTCGACATTTTAACTTTGTGATCATATTGGAGCCATTATCTCAATACAAACATAAACTTTAGACCACCCACACAACAAAGCTTACAACACCTGATATTCTCAAGCAGCCACTCATTTAGATACTTGCCAGGCTCGACATTGCTTAACTTTGGTGATCATATTGGAACCATTATTTCAATGTGATATGACCATAAACACTTTAGACCACCCACACAACAAAGCTTACAACACCTGATATTCTCAAGCAGCCACTCATTTAGATACTTGCCAGGCTCGACATTGCTTAACTTTGGTGATCATATTGGAACCATTATTTCAATGTGATATGACCATAAACACTTTAGACCACCCACACAACAAAGCTTACAACACCTGATATTCTCAAGCAGCCACTCATTTAGATACTTGCCAGGCTCGACATTGCTTAACTTTGGTGATCATATGGGAGCCATTATCTCAATACAATATGGCCATAAATACTTTAGACCACCCACACAACAAAGCTTTTACAACACCTGATATTCTCAAGCAGCCACTCATTTAGATACTTGCCAGGCTCGACATTGCTTAACTTTGGTGATCATATGGGAACCATTATCTCAATGCAATATGGCCATAAATACTTTAGACCACCCACACAACTAAGCTTACAACACCTGATATTCTCAAGCAGCCACTCATTTAGATACTTGCCAGGCTCGACATTGCTTAACTTTGGTGATCATATGGGAGCCATTATTTCAATGCGATATGGCCATAAGCACTTTAGACCACCCACACATCAAAGCTTACAACACCTGATATTCTCAAACAGCCACCCATCTAGATATTTGCCAGGCTTGACGTTGCTTAACTTTGGAGATCAGTGGCCATAAAAATATCCGTATAAAAGACAACTGGAAGTCATGTCACTGTGTGAAAGTGACTGATAAAAATATTTCTTGAATGAAGCAAATATTAGCAGACATCCAGATTTTTCCAAAAGATCTCAGTCGTCAATGAAATGTAAACACTAAATACTGTGTAAATAAATGACAAATTGAAAAAAATACATATACAACAAAAGAACCTCTTCAGAGTTCTTCAAAGTGTGGGTCGTCTTCAGGCTAATAATGATTTTAACAATGGAGTTGTGGAAGTGGTTACTTTGTCCAGTAGCATGCAGAAGGGATGGACAGAGGGTGTGGCATCTATATCGGGTGGGCATTCAATCAAAGTCAATAGTGAGATATGTGGAAATACGTTGAGATACGTGGAGACAGGTTGAGAGATATGGAGACAGACACAAGGTGTTCTCAGAGAGTTATACAAGAGTCCAGAGAGAGAGATGATTACGGCTTTACTTACAGAGACTTGTACATATACTTTCTACTAACCCACATTCCTGGACTACTAATCTTCACTTCAAGTCTGTATCCTTACGTTTAATACACTTATTTTTCTATCTTAATTACTGGCGTTGTTTATTTATTTGTGCAAGATTCCATTCACGGAATCCACAGCAGGTGGTATAATATTTACTTAGATAGTCTCAGAGATCCTATAGGTTTAGTCTTCACTAGGTGCCAAAAACCAGTGATCTTGTGTTGAAACTTAGCCAAATTTTTTAAATAACTTGGAACATTGGAGTGGTGTAATATTTAATTAGATAGCTTCATGGATCCTACAAATTCAATCGTTACTAATTGCCAAATAGCAATGACCTTGTGCCAAAACTTAGCCAAATTTACACTATTTACATTATTCAGGCTATTGTCCTCATCTTTGTTGCCATATTTATCAAAACCTTTCAGGTGGTTGGAATGTAGAACTGAACCCTTTATTTCACTTGCTGGGGTAGACTGTTCTAGTTCCACGTGCCATGTCTAATAGATGTCAGTTATCTCCTGTTAATTCACCTCTCCAATTTCTCCAAAGTCTTAACCAGGTATTGAACTCACAACTTTTTGGGTCCTGTCCCTGGATCTAATCAACGCCTTTATCCACTGTGTCATGTGTCCTTAATATTTAGGTAGATAGTTCCATGGATTCCATAGGTTCAATCCTCACACCCCTCACATATTAATTCACCTCTCCAAGTTCACAATGAAGAACTTGGAAAGGGGAATTAACAGGAGATAACTGATAACTGACATTTATTTGACATGGCACATGGATCTAGAACTTTAACTCAGCGAGCGAAAAAAAGGGTTCAGTTCGACATTCCAACCACCTGAAGAAGGCCGGAGTGTACAATGGCCGAAACATTGTGATAAATATGGCAACAAAGATGAGGACAATAGTCCGAATAATGTAAATAGTGTACATATTACCTCATCTCAGAAATTTAGCCAAATTTATTAAATAATTTGGAACATTGAAGTGGTGTAATATTTAATTAGATAGTTTCATGGATCCTACAGTTTCAATCCTCACCAGGTGCCAAATACCTGTGATCTTATGCTGAAACTAAGCCAAATTTATCAAATACTAGCAGTAGAGCCCGGTGTTGCCGGGGATGTAACAATAAGAGACAGATCAAGTATCGACCATCATAAAGACTGAAAATAAAATTGACAAAGATTATTGTTTAGGTTGATGGACACATGTCTTAATTAGTTTTTTTTTTTTTTTACGAATTGGTCAAACCCAAACTCAAACAAAAACATTGTTTTCAATCGTTATGAGTCTACCGATTGAATAGAATTTTTTATTATAAACAATTGTATTTGTAAATGGAATTTTTTAAAGCATTCTGAATGTAAAAATAAAGAAAAAAAGTGTGCAAGACAATAAGAAACAGTACCTGCCAAAAAAAAAAAAAAAAGTGATGTTTTGTTGAAATTGGATTTGAAAAATGTAGGAAATCGATCCCGTATATAAATGAACACACACACACACAACCAACCTGGGTTTTATAATAAGTATAACTCGATATGAGTTGTCCCCCTTTCATTCTCGCAACAGCGATGCCTCTTAATCGTGTTTTCAAATTGATTTTGTGCAAAAAAATTGTGCTTTTCCAATTTTTGCCGCTGTCAGAACCACCGCAAGGCAACTTTACGTAGTCCTGTGAAGTTTTGTTGAAATCGGTTGAAAAATGTAGGAAATCCGATCCAATATATAAACGAACAGACACACACATACACACAACCTGGGTTTTATAATAAGTATGATCTATTGGCACCTTGTTGTAAAGAAGGTAATTTCTGTGTTTATACGGGTTTGATTCTTCCTAAGTTCTTCATATCTGCAACAGCGTGCTGAAACTAAGCCAAATTTATTAACCACCTCGGGACAGTGGGTTACGTAACGTTTATGATATTAGTATCCGGGTTTATATGGGTTTGATGATCATTAAAGGCTAAATGCCAATGACCATGTGACAAAACTAAGTCAAAATTTATTAAAGAAATTGGGACCTTGATGTTGTGTAATAAAGAAGATCAAATGAGTTCAATCCTCTTTGGGTGCCAAATACCAGTATCCTTGTGCCAAAACTAAACCAAGTTTATTAGATAACTATGGGCGCCTGCGCTGGGGTCGGGGAGGTGAGTGTTGTGGAGGATACTTTCAAGAATTGTATTGGTTCAATCCTCACTAGGTGTCCCCATATTTGACCTTGTGCTGAAAGTTGGCTGTCTTTAAATAAGTTACAGTGTTTTATGAAATATGAAGAATTTTTTTTTTTAATAAAAGAAAAAAGGAAGGAAAGAAAAAGAACGAATAATTAAATTAAATTCTTCCAAAAAAATCATTTCCCATTCTTTTTTGCCCAGTGATTGAATTTGTACTAAAACTACTACTAAATAAAGGTAATAAAAAATGCCCTTGTTTGGCAAAGGAACTGCGTAATGATCTCATAATGAAATTTTTAAACGATTTAATAATTAAAGTCTGATTACAAATTAAAATAATATTTTAAAAACAAATAAATACGGAAGAAGAATCGTCCGTTAGACATCTATTTTTTTCTGTCTTTTTTTTTTTTTGTGGTGGGTACGTGTTCTATGGACGAAAACACACTAAAGGTGAAAAGAGTAAGAAGACCTTTCAGGGTACGAAACAGGCTACCACCGCAACTTGGAAGTCTGGTGCAACACAATCTTTTTATATACCTTTATCAGCTCGATTTGTCCTTTTTTTTTTTTTTTTTGTAGTATTCATTTTTTTAAAGCTTCGTTGCAACTCTGCAGCAGTTGGTGCATCAACACATGCATACTTAACTTGATTTTTTATTTATTTATTTAACGCTATTCAACAGCTGACATGAGACGACGACGACTACTATTCAAGAAGCATTCCTCACTTTAATGATACTTCCCACTATGTATTCATTACTTGAGTCCACTGTAAGTAGCAGTCTTACCACCGCACCCCCACCCCCTTGTTAATTTCAAGCACTCAGTCGTCGGATAGATCTGGTTCGTACCAGACACTTCAAAATTTGCAAATTTGACGAACGTAATTCTGGCATTTCTGGAAATCTTTTTTTACAGTAAAAAAGAAATCTAAATATTTTTTTTTTAAATTTTTTTTTTTCCATAAAAATTTCTAAGGTAAGAATAATTTTTATTTGTTTTTTTTTGTTTTTATTTTATTTTATTTTTTATAATCATGTTTTCATTTTTTTTAATTGATTATTATAATTTTTTTTTTTTTAAACATCTTTTTATTGCTTTGGGATTTTTGTATAAACGAATGCTAAAAAAAAAAAAAATATTTATCTTTTATTTTAATTTTTTTAGTCTTTAAAAAAAAGAAAAGCAAAGCGAAAATAAATCTTTCTTCGCAAAATATTGGAATGCACGTTGCAAAAAGTCTCTTTTCCTTCTCCCGACCCAGTAAGATAAATAATCCTATGTAACTTTTAAAATAATTAAGCTTTCTCTTTTCTACAGAACTGTTAACGACAACGTGTTTAGTTTATCTAAGCAAGCATCACACGTCCTCTAAAGCATAATAATGGTGTCTAGGTTGCCTTTGTTGTTTTCAGGTTAGGTTACGATTTGTTTAAAGGAAATTTGCCTCTATGAATTTAAAAAAAAAATATTGGTGATACCGTTTTGCTTTTTATTTAAAAAAAAAAAAAATCATTTAAAAATAAATTATTTGTAAATTTACAACTTATTTATTTTTTTTCACGATTTTTTTTAAAAAAATTCAAACAAAATCTCAGTTTCCTAAAAAAAAAAACAACAAAAAAAAAAAAACTACGAATATGTTTCCCGTGTTTTAATTAAATATCTTGTTTTTGGGGTGCGTGGTGGATTTCATTTAATTAAAATCGCAGATTTATTATCTAAGTTTTCAAAATTTTAAGCTTTAAAATAGAAACTTACCGATCGCTTGAAAAAAACAAATATTTGCTTTTTTAGGGTTATCACGCACATGGCAAAAAAAAAAAAAAAAAAAAAAATTAGTAATGATTGTAAATATTTCTTTTACTGTTGTTTAGTTATATATATATATATATATATATATATATATATACTTACCCTGGTATTTTAAAATTTCATTTTTTCTTGCAACAAATGCATGTGCGTAGGTTTAAGTCGACCTAAAAGAAAAAGCAAGCATGTCGTATGAATTACCTGGTATTTTTTTTTTTTCAATGCAAGCAGAACATTTGGCAATCTGGCGCTACAAAAATCTTCCAACCCTTGTTTTCTCTAACTTTAAGCTTAAATGTTTATATGTGAGGCTTTTTTTTTAAAAACCTTGTGCAACGGTTGTTAGTTAGCGATGTGTTTTGCAAATCAAACCATTGTTGTTTTTATT